TCTCTTTTTTAATGGTGGACTCCACCACTTTGTGTCATAGTATCAAATATGTTTTTTCCTTGTTACATGAAAATAGACAAACCCTTAAATAATTATATCTATTGGTTTATATTCTAAAATTTAATTTAAATCAATCATATTTTCTTTTAATTTATATTTTTATAGGTAGAAGAAGTTAGAAGATGGTGAGGGAATTATGTAATAGACACGTGGAGGCGTGGTTAAACCCAAGCCAAAGTTGCCCTAGTAGGTTAAGTCCAACTTATTACGGCACTCTGAATACTTCGCGGCACGACCCGTTGTTTCCCGCCACCAACTTGCTCTTTAAATGTCGACACCCTTTAGCCTATTTTCTCACACCTATTCATTCATTCATTCATTCATTTCTTTTCAGCTATCGTTGTGTTTGTGTTGTCACTTTGTGATAGACATAGATAGTAGTATCCATGACCATGACCATGACCATGACAAGAACAAAGGATTGCAAATCAAAATTATCTCCAAAGAGATGTTATCATATCAGTAGCCATAGGTATCTGAAACCAGGAGCTCTTGCCAAACTCAGGGACTCCAAAATCACTGCCAGACGCACCCAGATTTCTCTTTCTCAGCTCTTACAATCACCATCATCCACTTCTCATTTTCCCACACAACACCAACAGCCACTGAATCAGGATAACGGGGTCCCTTGCTTTGCTCCCAGTCCCACCATCAATTTCAATCGCCCCCGCTGCCTCCACAGAAAGATACTCTTCGCTGTTACTCCCTATTTCACCCCACTATGACACCATGCCATTTTTAGGTCTTGATCCATCGCAACACAACAGATCGAGACGATGTGATTTCATGTAACCTTTATTTTTTTTCTTCTGTTCTCCAATATATTTAATAAATCGAATTTCTTTTGCGGATCCCCTTTATGTAAATGATCTTCGCCATCATATATTTGTGATCTTAAATTAATTAATTAAATAGATCCATGCGCGTCTTGAAGGTCGACCACTATCAATATCGTGTATGGTTGTTGGGTTATTTGTTTCGTAAATTTGAGTGTGCATCAGAAAATGAGATCAACCAGAAATGTTTCGATGTGTAATTTAATACAAAGCGTGAAAATTTGGCAGTTTTAAATTAAATACATCTATTGCGCTCGAGAAATCGCATCTTTTGTTAATTTCTCATGGAGGTAATCCTAAAGAAAAATATCGGGAATTAATTGTGAATTGAGTTCCTTGGATCTTCTTCGATTGAGGGATAGGGTTTTTTTTTTTTTTTTTTTTTGCAGGGAGAACAAATTGGTAGACTGTAAAATCCCTATGCATATTATGCAGTTGGGTTAAAAGGTTAATTAATAAGATGAGCATTCTGCGCCGTTAATAGAATGAGGTAAAACTAAGCAACATAATCCCTAAACCAAATCAAAAGAGTAACATGAATATCTATCTATCTACCAACGAAATGGCCCAATTTGGATAAAGAGAGTCAAGAACATGATGAACCCGAGTCCAATTTTGTTGTTGTTTTTTGTAGACAATTTTCTCTCAATTCATTGTTGTTTCCCTCTTTTCGAAATAGGAGTCTGATGCAATCATGTTCCTCTACTGCTCTTCATGCTTTGTGTTTGCATTGCCTTTCTGGTGATCTAGCAAGTAAATCCAAAAACATTAAGGTGGCTCTTCTACTTCCTCTTCCTTCTTCTTTTTTTCTCTTCTTTGTTATTCTTCATGCTGTTCAGTATAGTCCTGCTTCTTCAGAAGAGTTTGGATTTGATATTTTATACTGTTAATATCACCACCAGCTGTGAGAACAATCTGTTAAACGAATATATTGTGTTTTTATCTGCCTATTCCAATGTCTGATGACCTAGAATCATCATACTGTGAATAGCCTGAATTGGTTGTCATTAAAGAATGTTCTATTTTGATCGAATGAAATGTGGAAATAGGTATTAAATCAAGATAAAATTGATATTGGATTGTGTTTTAAATATTAGAATATTAGACTTGTTGATATGTTTAGGATCATAATGAGTAAACACCAAGTCTTATCTAATTAATTCGAGTGAAGAAATCAGAATAAAAATGGGGGAAAGTTTCAGTATATGCTAAGTTTAATATCATATATTAGTTAGTAGAATCAATGTCAAACCATCATCAACGACAAGTGGTGCTCCTGGGAAGACTTCAAAGATGGCTCCATCCTGTTTCTATGAACGCGATCTAAGAATTCTTTCATCATGTGGCATATGCGGAATGATATTGAAGAAAACATGATTGACCCGACTGTTCCGAAGAAAGCTTCTTCTATTCATGGTAACATAATTTGAATGTCAATAGATGGCCAAAGATTCATATAACCCTTCACAGCATTTATTACATCGATTTATGCATGCAGAAATAAATAGATTAGACTACACATGTCTTATACTCTGCAAGTAATTTGCATTGCTCGGCAGTCAGCACTCTGAATGTTCAATACATATATATGGATGGAACAAGATAAATGCTATTATTGGTTTAGTTTATTATATCCCTTCTTCTGTATTGAAAATAACTGTGAAGGTATCCATGGCGTTTTTACCTTTGTGCTCGGTTGATGTCATGTTTTCTTTCAAATTATCCTTAACTTGCTACACTCAAGATTTCAACCAATTTTTTTTTTACCCTTTTTCATTTTAGTGGTATCATTAACTTGGGGTAATGGCGAAGCTTTGTTTAGCTATTATAGTCTATGAAGTTTCAATCACAAAACCAACTCTCTCTACTATTCTTTCTTAACTTGTTTAGAATTTGTGTTCTATAAATCCTTTTTCTCCCTCCAGCATGGCATTCATCAATAAAAATGTTACTGCTTTAAACACAGATTCAGATTAATAGAAAAGAACAGTTTAATGATGTCGTCTATATGAATCTGTAGTTGTTTGTTTGTTGTGTGTCATTGTGGTTGGCAACAAAATGACAATCAGAGAAAACTAGGCGGTCAGGTCATATTTTGTCTAAAATAGAAACTGTGTATTACACAGAAAATCAACCACGTATAGTCCTGCCTTTTGAAAGCATGGGAGCAATTTGAGCTTTCCTATGAGGTCAAATATAAACCTTCAACCGTCTGAGTTTAGAATTGCTACATCTCTGCGTTTCAGAGTCACACGTTTTGATTAATCAATGACAAATTAGGGAGTGATTTCTCTCGTGTGTTAATTAATATGATCATGTTACGTGAGAAGCTCCTAATCATGCAATGGTGAATAAATGGTAATAAGGGAAAAAAATATTAAGATAAGAAGTTACAAAATCATCATTGTTGATCTATTTATTAATGGTTACGATCCTTTCACATATAGTCATATTAAAGAACACACAATCGAATTATTTTTGACAAATTATGTCCAACTGTTCTTTTTGCTACATAACCTCATTGCAAGGAAGCATGTAATTACTACGTGCATTTCATTGTACGAGCCATGAATTATGTATGTACTATACATTTTTTGATGAATAATTATCTACCATGTATATTAAATAGAATTAAAAGTCAGGGAGGTTTATTATTTTCTGACCTGCTCTAATTGTTTGGATATGATGTAACGTGTAATGCAAAAACCTCTAAGCCAGTTTAACTTAAAGGAAAGAAGCCTGAAAGCTATAAAATAATGAGATTCAGCATAGTGAGGAATGATTATTGATGAACTCATCCAATGCGAAAGCCCATTTAAAATCAGAAAGCTTATCGTTGTGCTTGTGTGTGTGTAGTATCCATCAAAGCAGATCCCGTTATCTTACATTTATATGTATCAAACGCATTTGTCACATTACACAAGAACATTTTGTGATTCATACGAAGTAAGCCAAAAACTACTTTATATGTATAGCCACCGTGAAGTTGAGAACAAATCAACACAGAAACTCTGTTTGAGATTACACTCACAAAGAAAGTTGGAAAGCTCTTCTGTTTCAGTTTACACTGCAGTTCTCCTAGCGCACTGGGTTTGCGCATTTGATAAAGGCAATGAAAAATTGCATAACTTTCTTGGACAGCCATAGCTGAATGAAAAGGGTAATATCCATTATGATACCTACAAAGAAATCCAGCCGCCGATGAGACAAGAACTTTGGGCAACCAGCAACAATTTCCAATATTTCGGCTGTGATTTTTGCCTGACGTTCCTTCTTGTATACAATTGATAAGTTCCTCTTCAATTCCACTGTATTATCAGTTGCATTGCTCATGGCACTCATTCTAGCAGCTAGCTCACTGGCTAGTCACTCCTGCAATGCCCTCAAAATTTGGCTGTTCAAATAGAGGTAACAACTAACAAGGCGTCCAGGATCTGTAGTGGGTCCAGCTCAAACTGCAAAATAGGTGAGAAATCCACTGTCTTCGTCCTTGCAACATCTCTTTCCACATTCAACTTTCCCTCCTTGGTTGTTAACCTGAAGAACTCATCCTCATCGGCATCCACAGTTACCATTGACATCCCAGATCTCTCCTTTTGGTGAGAGTGGAAGGAAGGTATGAATCACAGGATCTGACTTCACCAATGACACAAATTTGGTGTATAAGGGCTCCACTTTATCAACATTTTCACTTAGGGGTCTCAAAACGGGTTCACACGAACACGACGCGAATTTTTATTCATGTCAAAATCTTCAACACGATCAGGACACAATTTTTTTGCAGATTGACACGATACGACACGAATAACATTCAAAATAGAGGTCAACACGGTAATTGACCAAATTGTTTTACAAAAATTGGTCAAAATTAAAAAAAAATTAAAAAATGAATAGTAAAAAAAATTAAAAAAATGCCCGAAACAAATTTTTTGCGGGTCATTTTTTTCGACACGAATTATTTTGCGGGTCAACCCGAACACGAATTTTCGTGTCGTGGCTCAACCCGCGTGTCATAACCTGTTTTAACAACCCTAGTTTTCACTGACAAAGAGTGAAAAAACATCACCAGCAATTGCTTGAGCTTCTTTAGCAGTGGGCTATCAACTGGTATGAATGAAATAAGAATTACCCTTTTTAGTTATTACCAACACTAATCACAGTACAACTAAGACCAAGATCCTTCAATACAACATTTCTGGCCTTAGCTTTCTTTAGGATTGCATTGTTGAAACCCCCACAAAGACTTCGATCTCCTGTGCATACAACCAGGGCAACCTTCTTCACAGGCCTAACTTTCGTGAGGGGGATATCTATGTCTTCATTTTGGAGCTGCTCATTGATGTTGTAAAGGACTTCAACAAGTGCCTCTGAGAAAGGTCTGCCATTAACAACAGCTTCGTGTGCTCTTCTGACATTTGCAGCAGCAACAAGCTTCATTGCCCCTGTAATTTTCTGGGTGTTCTTCACCGAATGGTGTTAACAGAGGATCTTGAGTGGGTGAAAGCAGGAGAGTTTTGAGAAGGAAGCTAAGAAAGGTTGAGGACACAACCAAAGGAGAGAGAAGAAGGATCAGACAAAGAAGGTTTGGAAGACACCCGCATTGTTAGAATGGAGCAAGACATTAGTGCAGTGGAGATTGGGTTCTGCACTAATAATAAGCATATTAACACACAGAAGATGTAAAAGTGGGTCAGTATGTGGGTTTGGTTGTTTTCTTAGCACTGTCTTATGTGTTAATGAATAGAAGTAACGGAAGGGAGTCCAAGAGGCTTTGAGAGGACTTAAGCTATTCATATTTATCAAAGAAACAAATCTAAAATAAGATATAGCTACATTTAAAGACTTCTCGGTTACATTTAGCAAGGTAATACAAAGCAATAGAAATGGAGGAAAATAAGCTGTTTGTATTAATTAAAGAAGTTAATTAATCCACTAAGATAGCATGATTCACATCTCTGGCTTATCTTAAGTGAAGTAAACATTGTCGTGCCTTTATCTGCATATATTCTTTTCACACCCCCCTAATGACCGACCATGTTGAAACTTCACGTAATGTTATTTAACAACTAACATTCCCTTTATGGCAGCAAATCAAAAGATTCACTCAGACTAAAAAAGTAACCATGGTTATTAATTTTAACATTAAATATGCAGAGCCCTTCAAAAAGGTCCATTCACTCATTGTCAAAATAGTATAATTAGGACCATAATTAAGCGAACATAAGCAAGATATCTCAAGATACACATTCTTTATTATTTTCTTATATACATAATTCTAAGAAAGTATCACTGTTCCTATTATTTTTCTTATTTTACAATGAACTATTACAAACTTATCTACATAGAAGTTACTAACATACGAAAAACCAGAAAGTGAGTCAAGCAAACAAAAAAAAATAAACACCTCCCAGGCAAGGTTCCTGTAAATAAAAATCCCATCAAACAACTATTAAGCCCAGAAATCATCTATGATAATAAATTATAAGCAAAGAAGTGCCAAAAACAGAAAAGACAACTTTGTATATTTTCCTCCATGGATTCTTTATTCTAACTCAAACCCATTTTTAAGCAAGAAATATAGTTTTTTAATAGTACATACAAGGGACATATAAGAAATTTTTTTGAAGTTTAGAAATGAACAAAGATACAAGAAATTGAAGAGCCATGATAAGCTCCAGCTCAAGTCTTTGAAAATCAGCTGCTTCAGTAACCCAAAGAATGGTCAAGTGAAACTAACCTCAAGTTTCCCATAATGTTATCGGCATTTAAAGATTCTCTGACAATATTTTGAAGTCTTCACACATGCATGAATTTTAAACATAGAGACATGGACTACCCAGCACTAAAAGAGAGCCATATAAAAAATGTAAAATTGAATGTTAACCATTACTTCAATGCCTTTGAGGCTTCACTTTTAACATACTTTTCGACCAGCTTAATTACTCAATCCAACATCATATTAGAGCTAGCACCTATTGAAGAGCACCGCAACCAAAATTTCATAAGTATATTATCATTCCTAGCCAAAAATAAAAATATAAAAAAAATCACTTGAAATTCTCAAATTCACATGACTTAAGATAGATTTATTCATGCTTTGCATATTTGAGAAATCTGCAAATGTAAATAAAATCAAGGGGATGGGCTGAACAACTTACTGGGATGTTTTAATATCAGTATCCATTGGAAATACAATCAACATGGATATATTTCTTTATCATTGTACTTATGCTTTGCATTTATCCATAAACTTCTACAACTTGCAGGGATGGCTTAATCTCAAAAGGCATAATAATATCATTGAAATACTATCAATTTCATTACCATTTTTAAAATGAAGACAAGTTATTTAGTGGGATCAACATGAAATTTTATCCAATAATAATAATTAAAATGTTTATAAAAGAGAGTCAAATTTGAAGTTTAGAGGGTAAATCAGATAAGATGAAGCAGTCCACACATAATCTCGATATATATTAGGATGAGTATTAATTAAAACGATTCAGTCCTTGATATACATAATCCTAATCTGGCTCCTAATTGATTTTACAGTACATACATGGCATCTTACCATCAATACTGACAATATTCCAATAAATGTATTGCTAGCATTCCTGCTGACTTCCTAGATTTAATATTCTTAGAATAATAATAATAATAAAAAACTATACAGATAGCAGATTGCAACATCATCATAGATAATTACGTTTAATAGTTCACTAATTTGAGCCAATTCAGTTTTTATATAGGAATAAGAAATTATTCAAAATACACCAGCACTAAGAAATTTAAGAACTAGGCTCAATTAGATTGTGGATGCTATTCGAAATCTTTTGCAAGACTATAAATTCCAGAACAAGAATCATAATATCAATCTTGTAGCTATACAGAGTATCACCAAAATGTGCTTCCACTATACCATATAGTGGAGAAAGGCTGAGACATTGAAAATCACTAAAACGACAATTCTCAGCATAATTTAATTCAATTAAGAAAAAGAAGGGAAAAGTGACCCATTAACCTCTGACTGTGGGCAACCCTTTATACTAGTGTGTGAGTATATATATATATATATATATATACCATAGTATAATCATGTCTCTTTTTTTCCTTCTAAAAGAAGTGGGCTTACAATGGCATTGTAAGTTTTCTGGTCAGGGACAACTCCCTTAAGAATCATGTAGTCATGCAATGCAACTACTTCCTCAGGACGACATTTCTTGTTGAAATGGGTAACAAGTGTAGTGTATGTTATACAATCAGGACGAATCCTCTGCATAACCATCGTCTTCATCAGTTCTTTTGCTTTTTCATCACACCCATACTTGCAGAGAAGGTTTATCAATGTATTATATGTGACTTTGTTTGCAGAAATGCCCAAGCTCTTCATTTCCAATGTCAAACTAAACACTTCATCAATCTGTCCGCTGATGCAGTATCCACTAATCAAGGTATTAAAGGTAGTGGCATCAAATAATTTTCGTTTTCGTAATTCGTCTACTAGAAGTTTTGCAACATCTGTTGAGGCCATTTTACACAGACCATTGATGAAAGAATTGTATATTGCCAAGTTTGGCTTCTCATCCATCTTAATCATCCCATCATAAACTACAAGTGCTTTTTCTGTGTTACCTAGCTTGCAGTATCCATCAATCACAGTTCCATATGTATAAACATCAGGAACTAGACCACGTGTAATCATGCTGCCCAATAGCTGCTTAGCTACTGCCAAATTTTTGCTTTTGCATATATACTTGAGGAGTATGTTGAGAGAAAAAGCATCCTTTATTAGGTCATTTTCTAAAATCAGGTTATGAAGCTTAAGAGCTTCAGTCAGATATCCATTTCTACAAAGCCCTTCGGTGAGGATTGCATAGGAGTACTGATCAGGGTGTATGTGCTTATCATTCATGTCGGCTAATAGCAAAGATACTTCCTCAATACCTCCTTCACGATAAAGCCAGTATAAAATTGAATTGTAAACAACAGTATTAGGAAACAATCCTCTTTCTAACATTTCGTCACACAGCCTGAGTGCTTCCTCCAAACTTCCCCACCTAGCATACCCATCTATTAAAGTAGCATATGTCCTAACACTCGGCTCAAAACCTGCCTTGACCATTTCATGAAGCATTTCTTCTGCAAGTAGTAATCTCCCTTTCTTGCAGAACCCATTGATGATACAGTTGTAAGTAACAGAATTGGGCCAAACATAATTCCCAGTCATGGAGGTCATCTTCTTAATGAGCTTCAAGGCAAGATCCAAGTTGCCAATCTTGCACGCCCCATCTATGATCATGTTGAAAGAAACAATGTTAGGGAAAATTTCACCCTTTAACATCCTATAAAACACTGAAATAGCTTCCACCAGTCTACATTCCTTACAAAGGGCATAGATAACCAAATTATAAGTATTCACATTTTCCACATAACCAAAAGAACCCATTCCTTTATACAACTTCCAGAACCTATCAATTTCATTCAATTCCAACAGGTGATTTAGGAAGTTATTCCAGGCATGAACTGTAACCCAACATCCTCGCGTCCTTAGTTCACAAATAACATGATAAGCACCTTCAGTGGCCCCAGCCTGAGTACAAGCCCTCACCAGAGCATCAAAAACTGCAGAACTCGAGCTACAGTTTCCATAGCTCTCAATCAAAGCCTCCAACAACTCCAAAGGAGGAGTGCCCTCTTGAGTAATCAAGTTTCGCATAAGAAACAGGGCCTCATCGAATCTCCTTGACTTCACTAACACATGAACTAAGGTGCAACAAGAATCTAACGAGTAAGGGAATAACTCTCCAACCCAATTGTAAAACTCTAAAGCTAACTGGGGCGAGTTCTGAAACTCGCAAACAACTCGGTTCACAACGAAATTGGTGAGTTTTGGGGATAGTTGTTCCAACACACTCCATCTCCTATGTTTTAGATTAACACAAACAGCCCTGAAAACAATATCTTCAGCACTTGGGTTCGAGAAACGCTTACCAGCATGAAAAGCTCGAGTGAAGAAAAGGCAACGACTTTTATTGGAAAACAAAGTCCAAAACATAGAGAGAAATGTTCATCAAATAGCCAAATCCTCTGCAACCTTCAAGTTTGTGAGAAGACCAAGTTTCGATTAACGTTAATTTAATTACGGCATTCGAGAAAATAAAAGGTATTGAAACTCAGTTAAACTTCTTCGAGGGTAAACCTTTGAGGCCCATAACCCGACTTAGAAGCCCATAACCCGAACCCGACAAATATAATTATTATTCCCGATTTGCCCTCGTCTTCTATCCCTATACCCTAGTTTCAGTTTCTGAGGTTTATGGTGGGTTTGTCAAACTTAACAGAAACAATGGAGTTCGAGAAGAGGAAGGCATTGGTTTTAGACTCATTGAGCTCAACGAAATCAGACAAATCACCAAAGGGAACGTTGGACACACCAATCATCCCTCTCATCAATACACTAAACCAAAACCCTTCATACTTCACTACGAGTTCCTGCTCTGGCCGAATCTCTATCCTTTCTCAACCACTTTCAACGAACCCTAATCTCAAGAAGAAAGCCAGAGGAGGCTCTTGGCTCTTCGTTTCCCACGAACTCGCCGATCCTGACTCAGTCCTCAGCCTCCTCTTCCCCTCCGAGTCAACTCTGTTCCCTGTTTCCGAACTCGTCTTCAGATTCGAGCCACTCATCATCGCCGTCGAGTGCAAAGACCTCTCTTCTGCTCAGTCGCTCGTCTCGTTAGCGATATCTTGTGGTTTCAGAGAGTCCGGCATTACCAATGCTAACAAGCGTGTGATTATAGCGATTCGGTGTTCGATACGTCTGGAGGTGCCGTTGGGGGATACCTCGAAGGTTATGGTGACGCCTGAGTATGTTCGTTATCTTGTTGAAGTCGCAAACGACAAAATGGAAGCGAATAGGAAAAGAACAGAGAGGTTTCTTCAAATGTTACAGTCCAATGGGTCCTTGCATGCTCCAATGCGTGAAGTGGGGCTTGTTTCCGATCATCTTGAACTTGAGGATGAATCTTTGTTAGGAAACGGGAATGCAGAAACCTATTCAGGTATTTCAGTAGATAATAATTTTTTTCCATTTAGTCAATGCTTTACTTAATTTATTTTTCGAACTATATCATGAAATCATTCTTTTTTTTACTTGTGCGTTAGAGGGATTAGTCTTAGACTTGGTGCCATTTGATTAGAGCATTATGATGCACATGATGTTGACTTTACAGTTTATAGTACCGTTTTTGTAAATATGTGATTGTTAGACTAAATATGCTGGGTTATGAAATCAGTACTGATACATATTGATATGTATCTGATTGCAGGACAAATTTCCTTTTAATATCAATCGAAAGTCTGAATCTTTGAATGGTTGGCAGGGTTTGTGGGTTTTCCCGGTTGTGGTCCATCGATTGCCGATATTGAAATTGTTGGTGAACCGGTGGAGAAGCTTTTCCTTTGGGGCCACTCTGCCTGTACATTGGATAATGCCTACCACAAGAAAGTAGTTGTATTTGGTGGCTTTGGAGGCACGGGGAGACATGCAAGAAGAAATGATTTGTTACTGGTTGATCCATGTTCTGGCAATCTTGAAACAATCAGCACTTTTGGCTGCGCTTCTCCATCTCCACGTTTAGGCCATACAGCTTCATTGGTTGGAGATTTTATGTTTGTGATTGGAGGTCGGACTGGTCCTGATAAAATTCTGAGTGAGGTGTGGATCCTCGACACAACTAAGAATTGTTGGAAGTTACTGCAATGTGGTGGCAGTGTCTTTCCTCCCAGGTAATGCTTTACAGCATTCTTCTCTTGTAGCTGTAGCCAGTTCAAATGAATGACACTTATCAAGCAATTGTGCAGTAGAGGGGGAGGGGGGGAAGCTTTATGTAGGATTTCAAGACTACTTCATATATTTAATTGTCGCAGTATTTTAATTCATGTGCATGAATGCTTACAACTTACTAAACTGTATATTGTAACTCTAGTATAAGGTGTTGTAACATTATTTGCTATCATTTGATTTGGTAACATTATTTTCTCATTGTATGTTTAATGTTTACATGTTGGATAGGCATCGTCATGCTGCAGCTGTCATGGGTTCAAACATTTATGTATTTGGGGGGCTTGATAATGATATTATCTTTTCCTCCTTTTATATTCTTGACACAATTAGTTTACACTGGAAAGAAATTCCAGTTTCTGGGGACTGGCCATGTGCACGTCACTCTCATGCAATGGTGGCATCTGATTCTCAAATTTTTATGTTTGGCGGATACAATGGTGAGGAAGCACTTGGGGATTTGTATAGCTTTGATGTTCAGAGGGGTCAATGGAAGAAGGAGAAGACAGTTGGAAGGAATCCACATGCTAGGTTCTCCCACTCAATTTTTGTATATAAGAATTATCTTGGAGTTCTTGGTGGTTGCCCAGTCAGACAACATTGTCAAGAGTTAGCTTTACTTGATTTGAAGCTTCGTATGTGGAAGCATGTCACCCTTAATTCTGTAGGGAAAGACTTATTTGTGCGTAGTACAGCCAATGTTATTTGTGATGATCTTGTTATACTTGGTGGTGGTGCTTCATGCTACGCATTTGGAACCAAGTTCACTGAGCCTAAAAAAGTCAGCTTGCTCCATTTACTGCATTCACATAACGATCTTATGCCTGTCAAAAATCAAAGAAAGCATATGGTTAACCAAAATGAAGGGACGAATGGGAATCAGACTGAAAATTCTCAAGGACCCCAACGTGAAGATGCACCAAATATATCTGAGGATGAAAGTGTATATTTTAATGATAACCTGCCTCACTTGAATAATCAAAGTCAGATGATTGTTTTGCATTATGTTCTGCAATTAGAAAAGAAATATGCAAAATTGGGGAAGGATATATTGAAGAAGTTTGGATGGTTAGATTTAGGAAGGAAGGTATACTCTGAAGAGGGTGGAATACACATCTGTTTTCCAGTCCATCATGATTTTTTTTCTGTATTTTATGAAAGGAATCATCATTCAGGAGATGCAATTGATGGAAAAAATGATGTTCCCTTTTCGAAACCACTTAAACAAGACGGATACTTGTTAAATGAGTTATCTTGTTCTGAGGCATTGACTCTTCTCCGTGAATATGGTGCCATTGTTCTGGTAGATGAAGTTGTTGACTTAAAAAAAGCTGCAAAGTCTCCTTTGAAAGTGATGACTGAAGCAGTAACGTCTTTGATTGAGCATAAAGGCCTACCCACAAGGCTTCTAGAGGAACTGCCAACAAGGTTCTTTTCTAAAAATTGCTTCCGGTTGCTACTTTCCAACTTCATGCTTATTTTCCATTCATATTGGATTTTTGTTCTTGTATGCAGTCCATTTAGTGTTGTGTGTTTTGTAGTAATCTTTTATGTCTTCCAGGTGGGATCGGCTTGGAGATATTGTTATACTTTCAAGTACTTCTTTCAAGGATTCCATGTGGGACTCCATTGCAGAAGAGCTTTGGTCCATGGTTGCTAAATCACTTAAGGCTATTCGACTTGCTCGCCAGGTAATCATATATATACATGAGTAATACCTAAATTTGTGTTTTTGCTTTTCCTGTTTTAGTTTCATCTACTGATTCATTTTTTAATACATATGATATTTTTTCAACGCAATATGTATAATTTTTATCCAACAAATAAGGGGATATCTGATGATGATATTTGACAAATATATGAAATACTGAAATTACCAATAGCAAATGAATTGTAAAGATTAAAAGATATTTTTCTCTAATAAATTAGACATCTAGAAATTCAGTCTAGGTTGGAATCCAGTTTCAAAAGATATTTAACAAATTTATGAAGGCTAAAATTAAAGGAGGATGGAATTGGCACTTCTTGTTAATATGCAAACCATGAATGTTTTACAGTGATTGATCTCTTTGGAAGGAAAATATCTTGGAATTACCTGTAATACTTTATTACTGAGACAATTGTTTTATAGCTTTAGTTTATTGAACATAATGCTGTTTTCAATTCTGCCTGCAATTGCTTTGCAGTGAATCCATTTATTTATGACACGAGTAATCTGGTATATTATAGGGCCCAGTTGCTGCAACTGGTACAAGAGATAGCAGGTTGCAGATTCTTGTTGGAGATAATGGCTGGGTCAATCATCGAGAAAATGGAATACTCTATTCTTTCGATGCTACTAAATGCATGTTCTCATGGGGTAATCTTTCTGAGAAGCTCCGGATGGCCAGACTGGATTGTAAAGATGAAGTTATAGTAGATCTGTTTGCAGGCATTGGCTACTTCGTGCTGCCTTTTCTTGTCAGGTATTCTGTCTGTTTATACAGGCAGGGCTGTGCATTATACATAATCTCTAATTATAGAGTACTGTTTTGAAGTTTTGGGATAGTTTGACAAAAAATACCCTTTAGCCTTCAATATTGCGTAATAATTGGAGGAAGGACAAGAGGCATGAATATGCAGTGCTATATGGTGAAGATATGGTTCCATTTTTCATTGGACACTTTATGTAAAAAAAAAATTGGTAATTCAAATTTTTTAAACTTCGTAAAATACATTCTGGATCTGAAAGTGAGCATTTGGTGACTGGAAAGGGGCATGCTTCCTGAACTTTTATTAAAAAGAGATTAAGGATTTGAATTTTTTTTCTAGTATCCATTATTCCGGGTTTGCTTGCTTCTGAGGTTTATTAATATTTAATAATATTAATCTATATTTATTGTTTTTGCATGATCTTGAGCAGGGCCCAGGCAAAACTTGTATATGCTTGTGAGTGGAACCCCCATGCTATCGAAGCTCTCCAACATAATCTACAAGCAAATTCTGTGGCTGACCGTTGTGTTATACTTGAAGGAGATAACCGAATTACAGCTCCCAAGGTATAGTGTGTGTTTTTATTCACCCATAAACTATGATTTGCCGACACATGTTTGCTTCCATGTAAAAGTGGTTTCATTGGATCCATCCAGTCCTTAGCAAGAAGGAATTTGATTCATAACTCAGCTGGCCTCTCTTTGTTGTATGCCATAGATACACCTTCTCTACTCCCCATAACTCAGGAGTAAACTCACTGCAGTTCCCCAGTTCCTTGAAGAAGCCAAAGATCCATTTTTCATCCACTGACACGGATTAGATCCCTCACACCCAGTGTCAGTGATACATTAGTTGCCCTTAGACATCCCATCACTGTTTAGTTTAACCTGGCCAATTTATTAATAATGGAAATTTATTTCTTGTATCTATATATATTTTTATGAGGCGAGCTTAGCAGCAGCGATAAGATTACTCCTTTGTGACCAAAATGTCACGGGTTCAAGTTTGAGAAACAGTCTCTAGTGTAATGCTGTATATAATTGACCCTCATCCCTACCCTCACAAAGTCGGGGAGTCTTGTGCACTGGAATTTGCTCTTTATCTATATATATTGTTATTGCATTAATTAATGTCATTGTTATATTCTTATATAACATTTCCGGAAAATCATCTTAATGAATAAAAGGGAGAATTTCAATTTAGGATTTCCTGGCAATCATATTTCCGATTTTGGGAGGATTAACCAAAAGATTTATCACCAACATTCTGAGATGGTTAATCTTTTGATCTCGCTAACCATTTTTTTTGTTAAGTCTTTATTAAGTTGGAAATATGTTCACCATATCCCAAATCGCAATTCATCCTCAATAAAATCTGGTTGTATACTACATGCCAGTGAAAAAACATGTTTTATCTTTTCTGTCTTAGTTAAGATAATTTATTATTAGCCTGAGTTAACCACAAGTAAAAATAAATGAGCATTCTTCTGACATATTATTTGAGATACTCTTCCAGCAACTTTGGATGAAAGAAGATAAAATGCCCGGTTTGGTAAAAAGATAAATAGAAGGAAAGAAACATGTAATGTTCACTTTTTTCCATGAGTGATTCTGCACAGACAATGAACATTTGTGATACTTAACGAAAACAGTTTGATCAATTCTTAACACCAACTGATGTATGTAGAAGGAAATAACTAAATATGTTGATTTTTTTTGGTTTACAGAATGTGGCTGATAGAGTCTGTCTTGGTCTCCTTCCATCTAGTGAGTGTAGCTGGGTCACAGCTGTGAGGGCTTTAAGGTAATTGGAATACTGATACATATTTCAACAGACTTATCCGGTGTTACTCTGTTGTCAGCATTTAGCCATCTTGGCAATTTTTAAATTCTGATTGATGGTGGCATCTTGCTTACACATCCATCTTATGAGTTGCATGCTTATTTAGCACCATTTTATTTTTTATTTTTTTTGGTGAACAGCACCATATTATTTAATTATAACTGAACTTCTCATGAATGTTAATAAATTATTATTGGGCTTGCAACTTCTCATGTTGCATGAGGAGTTGGAGATTTTCTACTAAGAGAGAAAGGAGTGGGGCCCACCTTAAAAAAATAGAAAATAAAAAAGTGGCTTGCAACTTCTCATGCAACATGAAAAGTCTTTTTCCCATTATTATTACTGCATTTCTGTTCTTAAAAATTCTTCTTTGCTTTTGTTCTCAATAGCTGAATATCAATGATGATTGACATCGAAATAACTGTGGCACTGAGTTCTTGAACTTACTTTTCTGAAGTTACTAATGTTAAAAATCTCCTAACGTGCAGCCATATTGTGAATAAAATTAGAGAGAAACTGTCATATTAGCATTAGGTGCTAAGTCATTTATTAGAAAAAACAGTTTCAGTATTTTTGCTGGAATTTAATTTTATTGCATTATTTTAGTAGAAACCATTTGCTTCCTTCTCTTCACATCCTGATTCCCAAGTGAGTAATTTTTAAATTGGCCTCTGAAGCTATAGTTCACATCTCATCCTGTTAATTGCCTGGTTTGAAACCACTGCATCTAACTAATTAAATGCCAAATTTATGACTCCTGTTAGTGTAGACGGTAATATAATCATCCAAATCTGAATTAATATATGAAGCATAAGCTCCGGATAGGGCAATGGAGAAAATTCTTTGTGCGGATATAACTAGCGTAATTCAGCTCAGATTCAACGTTGAAAATTCTCTGGACCACTACTTTCATGACCAATTTCACTCTTTCTATGGAATCAACGTTGCAGGAGAGAGGGTGGAATATTACATGTACATGGGAATACAAAGGACTCAGAGGAGTGTCAGTGGACTGATCATGTGTCAAAGTCGATATGTGAAATTGCTAAATCTGAAGGTAGCATCTTCTTATTATTTATTTTTTAAATTATACAACTTTTACCATGTCCCACTGCAATTCTGAAGGTCTGATTTCTCGAATAATAATTGATTCGCTCGCACCATTATGATTCCCACAGGTTATTGTTGGGAGGTTTCTATAGAACATGTTGAAAGGGTGAAATGGTATGCTCCACACATTCGCCATGTTGTTGCAGATGTAAGATGCAGGCAGATCCAAAGATAGCGAATGGGTTGGCATTTGAGATTAAAAATTGGCTTCTGCATGCAATCAATATGAAAGTCATTAGGAATTTTAATATGCCAAGATTCTAACTGATCTACCTTTGTACCAATGGCACATGTAAACGCTGAGTTTGGATTTCACAAGTTCAGAAAGTCCTGTTCAAACATTGGTCGGACTTGTAAATCTTGCAGATGCGAGTGGTAAACTGCATGATAGTTATTGAATTTGGCAATGACACGGCCATGGCAAACTTGTGCCGCATTCCAAGTGCTACATATTACTTTGTTACCAGTATTTATGGTGTCACAATAGTTTGTTGTATAATGTTTTGGGAGGGGAGGGCTTGTGCTCAGGGAATTTTTGTAACTAGTAAAATTGTTTGTGTACCATAGTTTGGGCTGCAACGAAGTTTTACACTACTGGTCGGCCCATAGTTGATAGTTTCTTGTCTGGATGTTGTAAAGGATTTTATTCTTTTAGCTCATAATTTCCATGTCTCTATTAGATTATCAGAGGGACTATAGTGATTGTTTAATCCGCGGGCATGATTGCCGACCCAAAACATTGTAATCGCAACTCACGTCTATGCTTTAGAGAGTTGGAAAGTGGGCCTAAAACGTAGTTGAACTCATTATCCTAACATAATATAAGTTGCAACTTCTCTGATTGATTAATTTTCTGGTTAGGGTAGTTTCATTTAGTTTGGTATGGCTCATTCTTTAAAAACATGTTTTCGTACAGCTTTACCATTGTGATGTTAACGTGTGGTTTTCTGGTTTGGAAATTCCAGTTTATCATAGAATCCTTAGCTCATTTTTGGCTTATTGTCTTACACTGCAACAAGTGATTTATGTCGACTGTCTACTCTTTCTTGTTGAATTAAAACCTTGCATGGGTGTCATTTGGTGCTTAATCCTGAATGGTAAGCTGGTAAGTATATTTTATTCATATAAAGTAATCTGGATACGGAAAACTCGATTCATGATCATCACTAGAGCAGGCGTATTTTGCACTTTTCCTTTCATTATTTAACATCAAGTTGCAGAAAATATAGTTTGGACGAAAAATGAAATTAATTTGTATGACGTGGATTCATTCTAAAAATCCAAGGAAGGGATTGAGGTGTTGATAGTAGAAGAGTTTAAGTGTCACTTTTGTCCCCACTCGTGGCACTATTTGTGGATGTGTCCTTGTCCTTGGCGTTTATGCTGATGACTCAGGTCCCATTGATCAGCGACTGTCGGTGGTCACAATGGCTTAGATGGTCGAGCCACCAAACTAGGCTTTAGCCTCAGCCACCAAAGCTTGCTTCAAGGAATTTGTCCGTTTCGCGAACATTAACAAGAAGGAGCAAGGAGGAAATTAGTCCAAAAGGGGAATACATCCGTCCTGCCATAGGAAAACGAAAATTAATTTGGTGCATGTATTTAACAAAAAAAAAAAATTAATATTGCAGACCAATGTTGTTAAAACTGGTCCGGTCATTGATCGGTCGAGGTACTGGGTCACTGGTTCAATCGCATGACTCGATAATTATATGCAATTTTATAATTTATATTAAAAACTTATAAACATACTCAAATATCTAAGAAAAATGATAAAAATTTCAAATATTTTAATAAAAAATAATAAATCACATATTATTATCCAATAAAATATCAAACAAAAATATAATGATTGTGATACGGGACTTTAGGTTCAGAAAATGACATCTCTAACTATAAATTAATTCAAAATTTTCTGCATAATACATAATTGAGATAATATTAGTGTTGTAGGTACATAACTTATATAAGTCAATAAGTAAAAAAAATTCAAATATGTCCATCATGATTATTTTTGAAAAAGAAAAATTCAAATTTTTTTTTGAGACGGGGCCGGGTCACCGGTTAACTGACCGGATCATCGATTTTTATGAAATCGGCCGGATCGCACCGGTTCTGATGCATGGCTGATCTGTTGCTTAAATCGGACCAGTTATATGATCGGTTTACCGGTTCACGGGTCGACCCGGCCGGGTTGGTCCGATTTTAATAATTATGTTGCAGACTCATTAAGAAGTGTACTAGAATTCTTTTTATTTTTTATTTTTCTTTTATAGTGGGGCCAGAGGAATTTTTTTTAATTTTCCTATTACAGGAATGATATATTTTCCTAATACTAATGATATGGTTAAAATTTATAAGAACATTTGAAAAAGTATCATATCGTGTGTAATGCCTATATGCGCTGTATATTCTTGAAATTGATTTTTACATCAATATTTTAAGGAAAAAATATTTCTCCAGTCATCGGAGATAAAGTTATCTCTAGTGAACTCAAAACGACATCGTTTTGGATTATAAAATTAAAAAATTATAATGACAAAGACTAATATAACCCTGTAATATATTGTAATTACAAAAACACATTGATTTCCATTTCAAAACGATGTCGTTTTGAGTTCACTGGAGATAACTTTATCTCCGGTGACCGAAGAAATCCTTTACCCATATTTTAAATAGAATAATTATATTAGATAATACAGATTTGCACAATATATTTCATTAGACCAAATTTAGAATAATGTAAATATTACTAAAGGAGTTATTTACAAATATATATATATATATATATATATATATATATATATATATATATATATATATATATAGGGCTTATCGTTTCTCAAGCTGCTTGAGATAATTTTATCTCCGACTATTAAATTATAGTCATACAAAGATGGATCAATGGTTATAAAAGAAGAGAGAGAAAAAAGAAATCATAACCATTCAAAGGTGAATCAATTAATATAAAAAAATAAATAATAAAACGACGTAATTTTGGGATGGCCGGAGATAAACTTATTTCAAATTGCCGGAGAAATATTTTTTTCACACACACACACATATATATAGGCAGAATCCTTTGACATCAGTGTTTTATTTAAAATTTTGACACCTCATTTTAAAGCCGTTAGATCAAAAAAGATCAACGTCTATATATATATTACTAAAGGAGTTAGTTTTTATAAAATCACAATCATATTATTCATAATAACCATTCAATCATATTAGTTTCTTAAAAGAATGCTCACTTATAAGACCATTCTCTAATATTGTATTTATGTAAATATAAATGGAAATTTAACTTAACGAGTCTTATATGATGTTAGAGATTTGAGTTTGAAAAGTAGTATGTAAGAAGGATAAAAAAAAAATTTGGCAAATGGAAAGATAATTTGAATACGACAAGTAATGACACAGTTTGATATGTATGAAAAATTCCCGTAATATCAAAATATTGAAATTAAAATTACGAAATTATTCTTTTTTTTTTTTTGGTAATTACGAAATTATTCTACATCTACGAAAGTGATAATAAGAGACAGAAATAAATTAAGGACTAAAGCATATACAATTAGAGGAATGCAGAGGAAAGCTGAAGACTCTAGAGTTGTAAATTGATTAGTACAATAAATTTTTTAACGGGAAAATAGACAAATTGATATGACAAGTATATTAATTATATTATTTTAATAGCTTATTTCTTAATTTAGGGATTTCATATCTTTTTTTAGGAGTTATTATGTAATTAAAATATAATTACTAATAGTTTATAAATATGCTTAATTGCTTACTGTTATTCAGTTTTTTTATTGATTAATAAATTATTGTGAATTTTTAATCATAATAATTCTATTACGTTTCTTATATAACAGACCAAATCCGAAGATAAGCTCAAATATTGGCCAATAGCTCCAAGTTTGGCATGCGTATTATGAGTAAATTTTGCAGTACATATGTCTTACTAAAATTAGAAATAAATAAAATTTATATAGCAATAACAATAAAAAAACAAGTGAAATAAATATATTTAAATAAATAATCTCTTTTTAACTTTAGTAAATGATGTGAATTATAAAAGTAAAGATATTTTTTTCGTTTATTAGGTGGGTATGGTCCAACGGTGATTTGGATCTTTGTTAAAATAGGTGTAACGAGATGATGGTTTTGCGAAATGTTATGCGAGATGGAGTATTTGAGGTTGGATCTCTTGATTGATTTGGACGACTGGATGATAACTGCAAGACACTTCGATACTCAAATTAATATATGATTAATAGTTAAACTTCTAGCCTTTATTTATGTAGTGATGGATTGTCGTGCTGATTCATGCTAATTATTTTGAATAAGTGGGGTTATCCACGTCACTACCTAAATTATATGCGCAAACAGGCAATCAAACAGTTAAATTTACATTCTCCAAAAAAAATAAAAGTTAAATTTACATGTAGCAAAAAATATTGTTTAGATGAATTTTCATTTAGATTCAATTTCATAACTTACAAGTAAAAAGTCGTTTTTGCATTATTTATTTATAAGTTAACAAATCGTATCATAATTTCATAACTGCATTATCAAACAGTTAAATGATGTATTTATTTACAAGTAAAAAGTCTTTATATAATTATAATATTCCTATATAATCATATCATAATTTTTTTCGGGTGAGAGGATCGATTCTCCACAATCTCTTATCACCTAATAAATACGGAGACGTTATTCTTGAGTATGCATTTATAATTTATTCATCGTGCAGTGTGCATTAATCACGCATTGACTTGATTATAGAGTCATTCGAGATGCATGAATCATCCGATGAGTGCCAACTTTTAACACAAAATCAGAAATTTATTTTCGGATTCGTGTTGATAAAAATTAATATGAAAAAATTCATGCCATGATATGTGTCAACTTATAAATATAAAATTAATCCATATTAATTCTTGTAAATATGATATGGATAAAAGCAACATTCAAGATATATGTGTTGTATCATCCACATAATTAGCAATACACTTTGAGGCTAATTAATTATTGGATTTCAAGTTTTTAAGTTATTATTAATAATTTTATTTAATATTCATTAAAATACACACATGAAAATATATGAAATTCATATTTTAAATCTTGAATCTTGATTATTTTCACGAAATAAGCGGGTCATATTTATGTTAAATATTTTGACTCATTTTTAAATTTATATCAAATTTATGTTAAATTCATATCTTGTCAACTTGAATTATCATCCCTATGTATGCCATCCATTCTGTTCAACAAAGTATTCATTGGAGTTACTATCAAGGAGAGTCCAACGAGGCAAGTGCATGTCTGGTCCTGCATGAGAGGGGTGCTAGACTTGCTGGATTGTAACCCGTATTGAAAGACATTTTGACAAAATTTATATAACAAAAAAAAAAATTATAAAACATCTTTCATTAATTCTATCAATCCTCGAAACAACTTAGTTTTTGGATTGTTAGAAATATTTTTATTTTCTGTGATAGAAAAAAACTTTTTCCAATTAATATTTATTCAAAATAAAATATCTTTCGTTAATTCTTTCAATCCTCAAAACGATATAATTTTGGAACTGTTGGAAATAATTTTATATTATGTGATAGAAAAATATTCTTCCCAATTAATATTTATTCAAAATAATTATT